TGCCATGTTGTGTAGACAAATGTAATTATACCCAAGCTTCTAGAACAGCAGTCCACTAATAAGCTGAAAGTTCCCATAAGCCATCCCTCTCTCTCGTGCTCCTTTAGTGGAAAATATTTGATTTGTAGCGTCTCTGAAAACTGATTGATGCAGCACTTTAATCGTGCTCTTTTTTTTTTCTTTTGTTCATGTAGCTTCCTAGGAACTGGATGCATTTGCATTTCTTGCGGGCAATTGGGACTGCAATGTCCATGAGAGCAGGTATAGCAGCTGATGCTGCAGCAGCTTTACTTTTCCGAATACTCTCACAGCCTGCATTGCTTTTCCCTCCATTAAGACAAGTTGATGGAGTTGACGTTCAGCATGAGCCCTTGGGTGGTTACATCTCAAGCTACAAGAAACAGGTACCCGTTAATAACTTTTAGTATTTCAGGTTTTTATGCTTCAGCTGCTAAAATGCACTTTGATCTCGTTTCTTTTTTTTGGCACTGTTTAATCATAATTTTTGTCCACGAATAAGTACTAATTGAACCTAAATACTACCTCCAAAAAATTATTGATCAGATTGAACTTCCTGCGGCGGAAGCAACAATTGAAGCTACTGCCCAAGGGATTGCTTCTATGCTTTGTGCCCATGGGCCTGAGGTTGAATGGCGAATTTGTACCATATGGGAAGCTGCCTATGGCCTCATTCCTTTAAGTTCCTCTGCAGTTGACCTTCCTGAGATTATTGTTGCCACTCCATTACAACCTCCTATTTTATCATGGAATCTGTATATACCCCTCCTTAAGGTCTTGGAGTATCTTCCTCGTGGAAGTCCTTCTGAGGCATGTCTTATGAAGATATTTGTTGCCACTGTTGAAGCGATTCTTCAGAGAACATTTCCGTCTGAGTCCTCTAGAGAGCAAAACCGGAAAACAAGGTACCTTTTTGGCTTGGGGTCGGCCTCAAAAAACCTGGCTGTGGCAGAGCTGCGTACAATGGTTCATTCACTATTCTTAGAATCATGTGCCTCAGTAGAGCTTGCTTCACGTTTACTTTTTGTTGTGTTAACCGTATGTGTCAGTCATGAAGCACAGTCCAATGGTAGCAAGAAAGCAAGAGTTGATGAAAGTTTCCCACCAGATGAGAGCATTGAAGAATCAGAAAAGATGTCTGATAAGCAGAGAGACAGAACTAAAAAGACCAAAAAACAAGGGCCAGTAGCAGCATTTGATTCTTATGTTCTGGCTGCTGTTTGTGCTCTTGCATGTGAGCTTCAGTTGTTCCCTTTGATTTCAAAGGGGACTAATCATGCTCACTCTAAAAATGGAAAAAATGTAGCGAAGCCTGCCAAAGTAAATGTATGCACTAATGAGTTTCAAAGTAGTGTAGACTCAGCAGTTTGTCACACACGCAGAATATTATCGATCTTGGAGGCACTTTTTTGGCTGAAGCCATCTACTATTGGCACTTCATGGAGTTACAGTTCAAATGAGATAGTTGCAGCAGCTATGGTTGCCGCTCATGTTTCTGAGTTATTTAGATGGTCAAAAGCTTGCATGCATGCGCTGTCTGTCTTGATGCGCTGTAAGTGGGACAGTGAAATTTGCTCCAGGGCATCATCACTATACAACCTTATTGATTTCCACAGCAAGGCTGTTGCATCTATAGTTAACAAGGCTGAACCATTGGAAGCACACTTAATGCAAGTTCCAATTTGGAGGGATTCCTTTGAGTGTTTTGAAGGCAGAAAATTCAGTCAAGGCGGAAACAGTAGATGCTCTAATGTAGGTCAGCCATCTGCCTTGCAATGTGAGGATTCTTCACATTCAGAATCTAAACGCAAATCTGATATTGCATCATGTTCAAATGAGGGGTCTGGAAATACCATCGGTAAAGGTGTTGCAAGTTTCCCATTAGATGCTTCGGATTTGGCCAACTTTCTTACTAAGGACAGGCATATAGGATTTAGTTGCAGTGCACAGGTTCTTCTTAGATCAGTACTCACAGAGAAACAAGAGCTGTGTTTCTCAGTTGTCTCACTGTTGTGGTACAAGTTAATTGCAGCTCCTGAAACCCAACCTTCTGCAGAAAGCACTTCTGCTCAACAAGGATGGCGGCAGGTAATATTATATTTCTTGTGTCACTTTGCATCACTGTCATGGCAGTCTTTTCCAATATTATTAATTTATTAGCAGGTTTCGCGTTTCTATATACTGCTCTGGAACAGCGATTTCATTGGATACATTTGCACTGCACTTTATTTGAGATATTGTTGCCCTTTTTCCATTATGTATAATGCTTGACAAGTCATTTTTAAATCTTTAGGTTGTTGATGCATTATGCAATGTTGTCTCAGCAACACCAAAAAAAGCAGCCACAGCAGTTGTTCTTCAGGTCTGAATTTTGTCTCGCTTGAACACTACATGATTTTTTTATTTTTTTATTTTTTCAGGCGATACCATGTAGGGCTTCATTGATATATACTGAAAAATTAGATCTTTTATTGCAAAGTAACAAATCCAAAAATATTGTTTCCTCTTAACTCGTTTTCAATACCTGATTTTGGAAGAGTTGTTTCTTGGATGGTGCCCGAAACATTGGCTTTGTTATTTTAGCGTTATTAAATTGTGTCATTGGTTTAGTTGGTTTCATGACCTTGTACTCATGTCAGGCGGAGAGGGAACTGCAACCTTGGATTGCCAAAGATGATGATCAAGGTCAGAAGATGTGGAGAATCAACCAGCGAATTGTGAAATTGATTGTGGAGTTGATGAGAATTCATGATAGCCCAGAGTCATTGGTAATTTTGTCAAGTGCCTCAGATCTACTTTTGCGTGCCACCGATGGGATGCTTGTTGATGGAGAAGCTTGCACCTTGCCCCAACTGGAGGTAAACACGCAACTACGTTAATGTTTGTGGCCTATGACTTTTGTTAACTAAGCTGAGACATGAATGTTAGTATCTTTTTCTCTTTTTAGCAACTGTATGAACACCGTCGACCGTCTATGTCTGGACTGAAGGTGGATTACACCACCAGGCAGTCAACTTTGTGATCTGCCATACTTCCATTTCAAAACATAAACCATCCTCAACTAGTGTCCCTATTTCATATAAGCTTTTTGAATTGTCTATTCGTAATAAGTAATACACATAAGATTGCCGAAGGCTCAAAACATTAAAATAGAAACAAATTTATAATCTAAACTTGGTGAATCTCTATCCAAAGAAATCAGGGTTGGCAAGTGAATTTCTTTCACCTTTTGCTCCCATCTAATCTCATTTTCATCGTTGATAATTATGTCTTTGCCCATTTCTATCCGTTTCAATGTTGGGCAGCCCTCAACTCTTTGGGCTTCATGCTAGAATCAAATCACTTTTTTGTACCACGTAGATATGGCACATTACTGGATCATCTTTATTTTTTTTCTTTTACATTTAGCTTTACTTGGGGTTAATTTGATTCCCCTTTTTCCCCCTCTAATATCACTATCGTCATTCATTATTTCATCTTCCCTAATATTGTTACTCAAACCATTTTTTATCCTCATTTACAATTATATCTCTGTTGCTACCTTACAAACTTTTTTTCGTATAGCATAGCATGAGTACATATAAATATAAATTTTCAATTTCGTTGACCTTCAATGTGTTAATGCATCAATCTGTGTATAAATTGGCAGCTACTGGAAGCTACAGCTAGAGCAATTCAGCCTATGCTAGAGTGGGGAGAATCTGGGCTAGCGGTCGCAGATGGCCTTTCAAACCTGCTAAAGGTAAATAGCCATCCTTAATTGATACAATTGCTGATACGATCCTAGGACAGTTCAGTAAGAAAGAAGAAACTGCTTTATTTCATTTTAGCGTTTAAGAGAAATGGCTAGTTATGTGATATATCTGCTCCAATGAATGCAGTGTCGTCTGCCAGCTACCATCCGATGCCTTTCTCATCCCAGTGCACATGTGCGTGCTCTGAGCACATCAGTTCTTCGCGATATCCTGCTAGCCAGTTCAATTAGACCTAACCCTAATCCGGTGGAGATAGATGGCATCCATGGTCCGTCCTATAAGTATTTTAACTTAGATGTCATTGACTGGCAAGGTGATGTAGAAAAGTGCTTGACATGGGAAGCTCATAGCCGACTTGCGACTGGAATGCAGATTAAATTTCTTGATGCTGCCGCAAAGGAATTGGGTTGTAGTATTTCCTTATGATATCGATCATCTTCTTCCGGTGTATAATTTTTTTCACGTGGAGACTCACACAATAGATACTTGCATCTTTGTTGCCTTGAAAGAGATATGAGTTTGCAGGTAAGTAGATATTCATTTTGTTCTTGTGGATGTAAAGGTATTGTCAAAAAATTCTTTTCCGAAGAGACGTTAAGATCCCTTGTGGAAAGAGATTTGGGTAAATAAGAGTTGAGACGGAAGCTGACTTGAGCCCTCTCCTGTGTTCCATTGTTGTCCAAGTCTTCATGTTAAATTTTTAATTTCGAGCGTCGGGCGAGTTGATTAAAACAATAATTACAAATGATAGGATAATCTATACTAACTCGTCTAAACTACGGGAGGAGGATTTGAACACACACGACCTCGCACACTCCTAAACCCTGAATGCTCTTAATTAATGCCACTTTCGAAAATAATTGTATTATTATTCTGTGGAAGTGTATTTTACAATGTTAGTTCCCTAGAGAGATTACTATCGTTGAAAAGAGCTGATCGGAAGTTGCTTTCCGGTGGCCATTAAGCCGCGTTAGGTTTTACTGTGTGGAAAGGCAACTCCCCGCTGGCCACCAAGCTGCGTTAGGGTTTACGGTGTGGAAAGGAATTTCAGAAGCAGCTCGGATGCTACTTTTTAAAGCCGCTGCCACAAGAAGTAGCCGGTGCTCCGCCCTTAATAATAATTAGAGGCTACTTCCGATTAGCTCTTAAGCACGTCCGTAGGCTCTTAAGCAACCATAGTCCGAAAAGTTACAGTTAATGACAGTTAAGAGTTAAACAAAACTCCGATACGCTCTCAAGATAACTTTTGATTCAAAAGAAAGCTGAAAAATACAAGAGCTCAACCCAAAAAAAAGGAAAAAAAAAAATTACTATGATTTTGATGATGTAAACCAAAAAAATTGAAATTGGTAAAGAGTTTTCCCTATCTTGATGTATCCATTCCTCCAAAGGGACTGAATAGCAGGGCAAGAAATCGAAATTCGGAGGCTAAATCATCAGAAAATTTTTGGTTTGTAACCTCAAATCATTTAAGAATTTCCTGAAATCAGCCATTTCTACTTAAACTGAACGAATTTAAACTTTTCCGTCATGTTCAGTAGATTCAGGAAAACCACCGTGTTTTTGTTGCCTGCTTGTAGGGAGAGAGTGGCTCCAACGCTCCTTTCCACCGGGCTTAGACGAGGCATTTCCATACCAAATCATCCCAACCACAGCTATGATCATTCCCAAAACAACATGCAGATTCAGACCCTCCTTCCCAAAGAAAAAGAATCCCATGATCAAAACAAGAATTGTTTTCATATGCCCCAGTACTTGGAAGGACACAGCGGTAAATCTTCCAATACAGATGAACTGGCTGAGATTGGTGCCTACTGCGATTGTGCATGAAAGAATTATAAACATCTGCGGACAAAAGGGTTCAGAGAGAATTGTGAATGACATTTCAGTAAAATCAAAACATCATAAAACTCAAAGGGAAATGAAGACGCTAATCACTTTGAAATTGTACAGGCAAAGCTCTATATTAACAATATCACGTGCTAAAAGTTTTTCAAGCTTCTTGTCACAAACTCACATATTCCGAGCATGACTGAGGTACAGAAGAAAACAGGGTAACACTACTAATACGAATGTACAGCTCGATGCTCAATTTCAGATGTAAAAATAGATATTAAAGCACTACCCAGTACTTAAAATCATTCACATAAGAAGAGTGAATTATTAGCATGAGAATGATGTTGTTTTACATTAAGGACCTATCCTATAGTGTTCACACTTACCAGAGATCCAAAGTTATAATCATAGGCATCAACTCTCTTGTTTGTCAACCAATAGTCAAGGAAGGGGCCGAGTAACAGAAGAGATCCAGCCTGGGCTGGAGCAGTATGTCCCAACAGACTGAAAGAACCGAGTGAATATTTCCGTTGAAGAAAGTGCACATACTGCAATTAAAGATTTGATATTTAACTTTTAGGTAAAGCCAATATGAAAATTTAAGAGCTTGACAAAATTGCAGCTCGGGGAGACCCATTGATGAGGATTTATTCCCTCTCTTCAATGTGCTGAGGAATGGATAACTTACATATTGTTGTAGTGCAGTGCTCCATACAGCTATAAAGGCAGCAATGAAGCCCTTGGCATTGACACTCACATCAGTGACAGTGCAAACACCAACTCCCAAGAGAACAATTCCTATGCTCAACTTTGTGTCTCTTGAGTAACGAATCTTGTCAAGAACAACTTCCAGTAAACATGACACGGGGATCATGCTCAGCTTTGCTATCTGTCAATTATATTAGAGAAAATGTAACTCCCAAATATATTGCAGTATTCAGTAGCTAAACCCAAAGTGCTTTAAAACCCTAGCTATACCTGATAAAATCCCACTGAGTTCCACATTAGACTCACATTCATTCCAACAATAGAGAAGTTAGCAAAGACCATAAATTTTAGAAGCTCAGAGACAGGTAGATGCGACGGTTGAATGTATCCCAGCCACCTTAGAACAACCGTCATCAAAGTTGTCGTAGCAAAATGCAAACCAGTTAATGTTGTAGCTGCAAATTGTTTCAATTTAGAAGTGTATAAATACAAGTTATAAATAGCATGCTTATGGCTATGTAAATTTTCTAGATTCATATCTCCTCTAAACAAGTAAACAGAAAAACAACCAATTGCCACCTATTTGTGCAACGAGAAAAGCCATGATAACATGTATGTCACTTATAATGCCGTATTCATTTTCTAACTAATTTTGATAAAGTTTGCAGAAGAAGTGCAAGAAAGGTCTGAACTCATATCAGAAACAACCTGATTCAAAGCAAATCAATCATTAAAAAGAAAGAAGAATAATTTACCAAAACTGAAGCCATATGTAGCCATTAGAGCTTTATTGACAATTATGATCCCAACGGAAGTTACGACATTGAACATCCATGCGGCTGCATCTGCCGCCTTCTTATCAGCTTTGCTATGGGAGCCATTTTGTTATCTCCTCCGCTCAACCAGCCACTGTAGAGTCTTTACCTCTCAGCCTCCAGAAAGGCATCCATATACATCCATATGAAGCCGGACAGTTTCACCTGCTTTCGGAACCAAAAACTTTAAAAAGAGAAAACTGAAACAAATAAGAAAACTGAAATTCTGCAATAAATTAAGACTGTTTAAACCTCAAGTATGATTCAACACATTGATGCCATGATTCTTTAAAAAAATAGTTAAAAAATAAACAATATATTCCATTATACATATGAATTTCATAAAACAACTATAACTTCAAATCACAATCATTCTTGTATAAAAGCTCCAAACTAATAAAATAACACTGTCCACCCTGCAAAAAGACTAAAAATCTGATCACAAAGATAAGGAGTCGGTAATTCGATCAGATATTGCCCACATCTCCTTGAGTGAAAACTGACTGAGCAGTTAAGTAATTCAATGGAAAAACAGCGATGGGTGCTGCTGCTTTTCGTGCCCGGATTCGAAAATACAGTCAAATCATCTTGTGCATTAACATTTTCCTCATTTCCTTATCAGCTAGTGCAACAATTCAGTGGGAGAGAGAGGGGAAGAGAAAGAAACTGAAAACCATTTTGACTCACAATTCACTGAACTATGGAATTACCAGGACTTTTCAAAACAGAATGCATCAATTCTTTTGGGTAAAGCCAATTTTTTCAAAAACACAAATGCACACAAAGAACTGACATTGATCCAAATCCACAACAAAGTTGCTAACCAACCACATACAGACCCCACTGACATTCCAGATCAAACACACAAAAATCAATCAAATTCCAAGACAGATCTAACCTCCAATCAGATCCCAGAAATCCCAAGAAAAAACTGAGCCCAATTCAGCAGATCTGGTCGCAAAAGCCATCGATCACAGAGACACAGTAGCAGAAAAAAAAAAAAAAAAAAGCCATGGAAAAGTAAGCGAGCAGTTCAGAAACAAGAAACGTACTTGTGGAATTGCAATGGAAAAGAAAGTTGGGATTTTGATCGGGGAGAGCGATGCGTATTCGTTTGGATGCTTGATGTTTAATACGGTTATGGGATAGGTTTCTGTGTTTTAGCAACCCAGTCGAGTCCCTCAGATTTGGAGAGAGAGAGAGAGAGAGAGTGTGTGTGTAAGCTCAGTGGAACACGAATGTTAATGTTTATTTATGCTTTGCAATTACTAATTGTGTGTATTTTGCTAATTGATTTTGTAGGTGCCACCTGAACACCAAATTTTTTGGTTGACAATTTAGACATCAATTTCTGAAATGTTAAGGCATAAAAATTAAAACCTAATTTGGTAAGACAAATCATTCTTAAACAATTTAGCTTGTTGGATTCAAATTTCATTATTTTCCTTAAAAATTGAACATCTTCTGTGTGTTAATGGTTGCAAGTTAAGTGAGGGAATGGGATTGCGTAAAGAGTTGGGAGTTTAGGGTCAAGCGATTGTGGTAACCAAATTTCACCAGTTTCACAGAGGACACCACATGTATTATAGCGAGCTTAGATGACAAGACCATAGCGTTTTTGCCTACACTTAGCCCTTGCATGTTGAACATTAAATACAACGGGGGATGTCGTTTTGTAAATCAGAAGATGATTCTCTTCCCTATTAATCTCTTTTCTTTTTCCTTCCCTCCTACCTGAACGGTTATGGTTAAGCTACGTTAACATTTTATATTGATTTTTTTTGTAAAGAGAATAAGATAAAAAACAATGTGTGAAACAAGAGGAGGAAAAATGATAGAAATAAGAGGGAGAGAATCCTAGTTGCCGTAAATCTCACCCACAGAGGCTCCTCGACAATGCCTTCCAATGAGAAAAAGCTGACGTACCAATAGACCATGAACGCATCTTCACATCTTTTGACAAACTTATAGACCTCCCCGATAATCCCATTCCCACTGCACATTGAACCCGTGGACATCAGTTCCGTCACGCGAAAGAGCTCTGTCATCTCAATCTCTCCCGCCCCAACCCCAACGCAAGAGGAGTTTGATCCAGATGAGTTCATTCAGGTGACGCATCTCTCGTAACGTCTTAATCCCTAAGATCGAATCCTAGCTCCAATCAAGAAAAACGTTGAAGAAGGTGAGCACAAAAGTTGCATCTTCCGCCTGCAACGACGTGAAGAACATAAATAACCATGTTTACGTCGAGGAGTTTGACCACATACTGCTGAAAAGAGATGCGAAGTTTGTCGATCACAACTACACTAATGTAAAAAGAAGTAAAAGGTTCTTCGTGACATTTGTATGTCACCATAATCCCCAATTTTTCTTGTCAAGCTAATTCGGATAGAGTCATTGACGAAGTAGCCTGCAAGCTTGAATGTAGTCAAGATGTTTGAAAAACTCACCACCTTTTTTTTTTTGGAAACTAACTCACCACTATTTTGACACATTGTTCTTTTGTTATTTTTAAACTGTTATTTTTTGTATAATTCATGTGTTATTGTATTATGAGAGTTCTAACTCACACGCGTGACACGTGAGTTTACTAAACAAAATTTTTGACCCAATCTAGAGAGAATGAATATGACAAATAAAAAGATTAAATGAATACATTAATGTGTTGTAATAAAATTCAAGAACTACATTGGCTGATTTGAATTTGAGAGACTAAAATGAGGTGGGATGTCAATTTAAGAGATTTTTTTTTTATATATATATAAACCCTTCTTTGTCTTAACAAACAAAGTGGTGCAGTTTCTGCATATTATTAATTATGTATTAATTAAGTCATTTTAATACCTTTTTCAACTTCAAATGATTGAATTTTATGTTTCGAGTAGTCCCAAAATGCTAAATTACGTTCACGAGTCATGACATAATACTGATTGATTAAAAAAAATCGTGTATAAACACTCTGTAAAATCTAACCGAACTAGCTGAACCTTGCCGCCTATGGACAAAAACTTACCCTCCTAGCTTTGTTTACCAATCCTTGAAGATGACATCGCTTAGACTTGTCACAAAATTCTATTGGTTAGGCATACAATTAAACACGTAAAAACTTATTAAGTATAAAAGAATTATGTTAACCAATTGTAGGACTAGCTTGATTGGTCATCCTCAATAGTTTGTCTACTCCCCTTAATCTTAGATCTAATAAATGTAATTGATTGGTCATACCGCTTAAGTTTATCTAAATATCTGACAACAAAACTTCATCATGATGGCCAGTCATAATATCATTTGAAACCAAAATTTGTATTCAAACGAAGATTAAGAATTTAACATAACATGTAATCAAATAATAATTAAAAAGGTACTTTGCAAATATTCATATCATGACTTCATCATAAACTTTAAAAAAAATCTTAGTTACACATAATAGAATCTGGAATCCATGGTGAGGTACGTCCCAAGCTCTCTATCTAACTCGAACGGAATTGGGCATAAGGTGGTGGTGTATGGTATGGAGAGTTTAGGACACCCCATATTTATATTATAAAAACCCTAGAAAGTCTGATAAAACTTACCTAAAACAAAAAAAGACCTAAACAATAATGGAAACAAACTAGTAACAAATTCTTCTTGGCTTGGGGAACACGTCATCTGCACACCTGATTTGGGGACATTCCACCTTTTGAAAATTTCTAAAAAATTGAAAACTTGTAGATGTCTGTCATAGATTTCTCAGCATGTATCGCTCATCTCCAGAAAAATCAGGACAATCTCCAAATCTTCATTATCCCACAAATGCGCAGTTCCAACAGGAATGCAAATTTTGAGGTATTAACGTGCAAAACTGGAACAATTGGCCTTCATAGAAAATTATGAAAATTGGAAACTGTTGTAGAGGAAAAACAATTTGAGAGAGAATGAGGGAATTCTTATTAGAGAATCGTATTTTAAAACGTGAGGTATAGCCACCCTTATATAGTGATTTGACTACCCTGACAAATTACACAATATCCCTAATTGAATATGGAGAATCAATTGAGTAATCAATAAATGGCGTATTCAATTTTAAGGAATTATGGCCAAGCGGTTACACCAATTAGTGGACCACCATAATTATCCTGCAACAAGCACAATAATATTCAGCATTTTTTTTTTTTTTTGAGTACATTGATATTTTTACACTACGGGGAGGGGAAGCTTGGCGAGCCACACAATGTGCAATCTAATTTGGTATTGAATTTGCCATCCACGAACCTATTAGCTTCCTTCTACAGCTAGTGTTGCCTCAAAACTCCTCCGGAAAGCCAATTTATACTAAAAAATGTCAAAAGTGCGCAAATTGGCTAACATTGAGAAAAAAGGACAGTAATAAGGCACTTTATAACTCACTTTTTTCTTAAAAACCTAGGGATAATTAATATGAAAGGCACCAACAGAGATGACCTGTAATTCTCTTCGCCGAGCTTGAGTTGGCAAGAAGATGAGATAACCGTGGAGTGAGATGACTGTTAGCACTCTCTATATGGTGGTTGAATTTTGTAGAGACGAGGAGAACGGTTGCTCCCCATCCTTTGCTTTCCGATCCACAAAACCTCTAGGTTGGATGAAGCTATGAAGTACCACATATAGATGAGTCGCAAGTGTGAAACCCTATCCAATAAACCCCTAAAACTGACCTTATAGGTTCCTTGGGCCTTTTGGTCTCTTTCATTCAAGTAGTTATGCACAACATAGTTTAGAAACCGAATGGGTCTCTACAAACCAAAACCGAAACTTATTTTAGTCGAATACGGTGTCCTATGTTGGCATAATTAGTCTAAACCTACTCAATTAACAAACTTAATTGATCTCATCATCTTCTTAAGTTTTTTTTTTTTTTTTTCAAAGCTGAAGTATATCAATCCATTAAGTTCTAACTAACTAGGCAATGAGAGGTTATAACTCTTACAAATCGATTGTGAATTAAAAATATATTTTGCATGTGGTCCAATATACTAGTTGATAGGGTATTGAGTTTCTAGTTATGCGTTCCGAGTACGAAACTCCTCTCCAAATTTAGTGTAATTGTTTCAAACCCTCCGCAACCCCTTGATAATAATAATAATTTTTTCTTGAAAATAAAACCCCTCCTTTAATTCTCCATTTAAGTAAGATTAATTGTGGTTAATCCTTAGGGGTTCAACAAGCCATGAGTGACAACTAATATTACGCCATGGCTAATTAAATAGGAGAGACGGAATACCAATTTAGTTGGAATTACAATACAATACGGTTCTTCTTTAGCTCAATACTTTTTATTACATTATTAGGACATGGGGCCCCTAATGCGAATTCCTAAGTTCATATGATTCATTTGAATATAATATAGAACTCTCTCTTAACTATATTCAATACTTTAGCCAGAAGAAAAACATATTTTAGAGTATTCTTCTTCTTATTGAACGTAGAAATTTCTTGTCATACACTCACATGCCTCTATGAATAAGTCCAAGACCCGAATGGTGCATGGAAAAAACCAAAGGGTCATGATGCATCATTAAATGATCAAAGACGTAGCAATAAAACAATTGTTTATTGCAACTTCAAATTTTCTTATTTGACATATAAGCAAAAACTTCTATAAAACAATTGTTTATTGCAACTTCAAATTTTCTTATTTGACATATAAGTAAAAACTTCTATAGAAGAATTCTCGTTTGATTGTTTTGAATGAACTCACTCTATTGTACATCTACATATTTGTCTCGATATCCTTCACACTAATGACCTAATGACCAATCATTCTCTCAAGCGAGAAAACACAGTAGGTACTGATCTTTGAGGATTGTCAAGCCTAGCTAGCATTCCTATGCTTATGAACATTTAGGATGTGTATGAAAGAAACATCTCGTGATTTAACCTTTCATATTACATTCTCTCTAGTACATAATCCCTTCGACTTATTGTTTAAGCATTTAAATTGAATGCGACAACCATAAACAATAATTTGTTGAGAAACAAATTAAACTCGAGACTAAGTGCATGAAGTAAGGGTGGACATAGTCCAGTTGGCCTAGTTTACCCTCAATAAGAAAATCAAACCAACTTGGTCCGGTTGGGTTTGGACCGAATTTTCAAGGCCTAGATTAAGAAAATCGATTTAATTCGATTTCTCAATTTACCAATTTACATGCGCTTTTCCCACAAAATAAATACTCTCAAGTCTCATCCAACTTAACGACATATCTCTTACAAAAGTTATTGTTCAAAGACTTTACAAATTGACTAATTATTGGTCCAATTTCGACCAACGAGAATGATTCCTTGCAATTCAACAAAACCTTACGAAACCTCTTATAAATCGTGGATTTAGAAGAAGACAAGAAGAAGAAATAGGGATAAACTAAGATTAGAGGTCACGTAACTGTTGGGATGTGGAAGCAACGTTCACGTGGGACGAATCGCCATTGGCCACGATACTAAGCATGTGTCCTTTTCCCTCTCCCCCTTCTGAAACCCTCTTGTGCTCCATGTCGACATGGTAATTGTTGCAAAAGGAAACCAAAAAACCAAAAAAAAAAAAAAAAAAAAAAAGGCCCAAACCAAAAGACACCCACACCCCACTTGGATTTCCATCCGATTCCCCCAATTCCCCCAAAATCCCAAATTTACATATAAACTCGATTCACTCATCTTCTTCTTCTCCCAATCGATCGTTTTCGATTTTCAGAGCAGCAGTTTGGCCTCGCACGCAAAACCCACAACTTGGTTTCTTCTGATAATATCATATCAGTAGAAGGAGGAGATTGTTAAAGAGAGAGAATCTGCCTGCCATGGGGAAGAAGAGGAAGTCGATAGCCTCCAGCCTCGACGAGGTGGATCGAAGCATGTATACCTCCTTCTGCAGCGCCGCTAATTCCCTCTCTCAGCTCTACACTCAGGCCATGAACCACCAAAAACTCTCCTTTCAGGCCGGTGAACGCCACGCCCTTGTATGTTCTCTCTCTCCCTCCCTCCTTTATTTGTTGATTTTTTATCTAATCGTCCATTCCCTCATTGGATTTTTGATTCTTCATCATGATCAAACCAAAGTCACAATTTTTTTTTTTTGTTTCCGATTATTGATAGAAATTGGGGTTTCAGATAAATTTTGGTTAATTTTGTTTGATTGTGAATTGGGTGAATGGTAGTTTTGAGTGAGCATGTCATGCCATTGCCAATAAGGCTGGATGAGAAAGACACCAACTTTTCAGTATCTGTGGGAATTGTAATGAATATCAATGTTAAACTTGTCGAAAGTGCTGAGATAAATTGGTGGGGAATATCAATTGTGAGTGGAATTTTCGGTTTTAATTGGATGTTATATTTGCATCTTAATAAACCCTATACATAAGATAACTTGAATAATTTGTATCGCTATGTGGAATAAAATATAATTCCTTTACTCTCAGAGAACACGTTAGTCGGATTTACAATCAGTAAATTTGCATGATTCTTGCTGCTGGATGTTTTTTGGTATAAATCTTTTGAGTGGGATATGTTTCTGAATGATTGGTTTTGGAATTCAATGCTCGTTACACAAACATATGTACCATTTCCTTTCTCCAACTGATTGATTTGCCGCTCTTGCAAATGACGGTGCGAGTCTCTACTCTCTGAGGAATTAGACTCCATTATTTTTGGAGTAAGAGCTTTGTGGGTTCCTTCTTCCTTTCTCCCATAGCCATCTTTTTGGTACACGGTTTTGCCTTTTCACATTTTCTTCCTGCGATGTTCAGGGTTCTTGTGAACTGGCTAAACCAGCCGGGGTGGTCTGTGGCTTTTTTCTGAATTTAAAATTTTGTTAAGTATATCGTTTTCTTTTAGTTGATTGAAGGTGCGGGGTCTCTCATGCTGCTTTATGCTTCCTTGTTCAAAATTTAATGCACTTTTTGTCGCTGCTAGCCAATGGTGCAATTGGTTTACAAGTTTTCGTAATATACCTGCCTATTCTTGTTTAATTTTTTTACACACATAAATGCCCGATTATTATCTAAAATTTCTTTAAAGGTGGACTGCATATCTGTTATCTACATTTCATTGATGAAACCGTGTCAAATGTCTTTTCAGGATAAAATTTATCAGTGGATCTGTAGACAGCAAGAAGTTACAACAGTCGATATAGTCAATTATCTTCAGGTTTGTTTACTATTTTGTTTGTTTATTTTCATAAAGGATCTATTATTCCATCTTGGATTGTTTGTTTCATTGTGTGGTAACCCATCCAGAGTACACAAAAAAACATTGATGTTGCACTCAGACACATGAAGTCACTCCTTTGGCACTCAAAGTTTGTGTAAAACAAAATGGTTCTCTCAAACTTAAGTGTGCCTTTCTTTCAGAGATGGTCTATATCAGTGACGGGGTTAATATTTTGGTAGAGTCCATTAAGCACTCACCCTTTGTGTCAAACATTCTGACTTTTGATGGGTTATTATATTTTAAACTTTAATTTGCAGCTTATTTGGATGATGCCACTTCCTCTCTTCTATACATTCTATCCATTCCTCATGTAACACGTTTCTAATGCATTACTTGAAGTTGAATCTCATGTTAATTACGTGTTACATGGACTTTTGTGAGGGTTTATTTCCATATTTTTCCCAGTTGAAGAATTCCAATCTTCTTTTTTCGCCCAACAGAAGGGATTAATTTTATGGTTTGCATACGCTGTGGAATTGGGCCTGAATCCAGAATTTAACTTTCAAACCTTTAAACATTGCGCAGTTATGTGGTTCTATTTTTTTCAAGGGAATACTTTTATACCCTTTATTAACTAGAAACTAAGGGATCGTTTGGTAACCATTTGGTTTTTAGTTTTCACATTTTGTGCTTGAGATATGGGGAAAATATAAAGGAGGAAGGATGGGTGATGAAGGGTGGAGGAATGATGGTGGGAGAGATGTAGAGAAATGTATAAGAAACAAAAATATACATTCCTCCACTCTTCTTCATCTCTCCTTTCTACTACTTCCTCCATATCTCAAGCACAAAAGTAAAAACTAAAATCAAAACCAAAATGAAACCGGCCCTAAGAGTCTGGTTTTCCTAGGTGGTTTTTGCCATCACCAATCATAGAGGAATGTTTCTTTACCTTGGTTTCGTACCGATAAGTTTATTTCTTTTGCTTATAGATGCATGTTCGTTCTGTAATAAAGAAATAAAACGAGCGTGCTGTTACAATCTTGAAAATTCTAATTTAGACCTCTTTTATACAGCTTACAAATATCTTTCTTATCTCCATGCAGAATGAGTTGGACTGTTGTGGAGAGGAGCCATCAATGTCCCCAAGATTGCCACTCCAACATCAGCCCACTGTGCATTTCTCAAGCTCAGGTTTCCCAGTTACTTCTGGGTCATCTGGTCCAACAAATACTGCGCAGGGAATTCGTTCTGAGCAGTGCAATCATCAATCTAAGAATTCAGTCTTCTCAAATGCTCTGTCAAGCCCTGTTCGCCAAAGTCTTCAGCACTATCACATTTCTCAAGATGGACATTACCCAGGCTCAGGTCTGCCATCTGGAAATGGAGCCCGAAACAATGAACCTAGCTTTCTCCACCCAAACCGGGATGCTAATCCTCCGAGTTCCAATGATACCTCGATGGACATGCATGCAGATAGTCCTGGTCATGATTCTACCTACTGAAAATGCTCAGCTACTTCATCCATGTATTCTTTCCCATGGGACGGTCAAAAGTCTTGGAAGAACCATGGCAACACAAAGCTCCTCTCTGGTGCAATTCCGTAAGGGAAGACGGCACAACATCGAATCGGTAATGCAATCAATTTAATTTACTTTTGCTGTCTTGTTTGAGAATAGCTTGGTCTTCATCTTCTGTAAGCATCTTTTTTGTATTGCTTTTCGTTTCATTTTGTTTTTAACAAAAACCGTTGTGTTTCGATTAGTCACTGCTTTTAATGTTGAAAGATTATCTCTGTAAATGTATTGATTCTGCTTTACGTTACAATTGAAGATTTCAGTCATTAATTTATAAATTAAGATCATGATTTCCCAAAGGTAATTTAGCCAAAAGTCACTAAAAGCTTTACTATTAAGCCATATGTCAATGACATATTTTTGTTTTGGACTTGATCAATGATATATTTTTATTAATTAGGCCTAGGTCAATGATGAATTCAATATAGGCTTTAAGTCATTATAAATAGTTAGAATTTGACTGTTCTATCATTTTCTCTCGTTATCTCTCTATGAATGTCATATGGGCTTAAACTATTATAAATACGAATTTAGATCCTCTTCGGATCAATTTTGTGGAGATCCTTCGGACCGATGGATCTCTTCCATTGATACAAATCTAACGGCCAAAATCCCTTATCCTTCCTATTTTCCCCTCAACTTCTCTTTCTCCCTCACTTCGAAGCTCTTAACCTCGAACCACACTGCCACAACCTAGTCAACCCACAACCACCAATCGTAGGTCACTCACCTTACCCTCTCCAAAATTAGCCTCAGCACCACCACATCCCTCAATTACAAGTCCCTCGACCTTAAAATCTCAGCCGATGTTAATGAAACAACAGGGAGAGGTTGTGCAAACCATTGTCTTTTGGTTGCAGAGATCTTTTTCATAATTATGGAAGAATTTCAGAGAGAGAAATCTTAAAGATGAAGAAGAAGAAGAAAGAGATGACAAATAAAAAACTAAAATAGTAAGGGATAGCGAAAAAATTGATTTTAGAGCACAGATGACCTGCAATTGAATTTGGGACTTGTTAACAATGATGGGGTGGGGAGGTGCGAGGGAGAAAGAGAACTTGAGGGGGGAAGAGAGGCGGATGAAGAGCTTTTGGCCGTTGGATTTCTATTCCTATAGAACTGGTCTTGAGATGATTTGAATCATATAGATAGTTAGAACATGTAACTTCTATCACCTTCTCTCCCCCTTCGTTTACATGGAGGAGTCTGCTCAACCAAAAAAAAAGGAACCAGGAAACGGACACTGCATTGTAGTGTCCGAATCCAAATGTCAAAAACAGAACCATGAAACGAACACTCCATTGCAGTGTCCAAATCCAAATGTAAAAAATAGAACTTAGAAACAGACACTACATTACAATGTCTGAATCTAAATGTAAAAAACAGAGTTAGGAAACTAACACCGCATTACAGTGTTTGAATCTAAATGTAAAAATCAGGAGTCGTGTGAGGTGTGAAAAGTGTAGGAGACGTGTGAGTGATGGAGAAAATAGAACCAGGAAATGGACATTGCAACGCAGCGTTTGAATCCAAAGGTAAAAAACAGAACTAGAAAACAGACACTGCATTAGGAACATGTAGGAGGCGTGTGAGTGATGGAAAAACGAAATCAGTAAATTGAATCCAAATGTAAAAAACCGAATCTGGAAATAGACACTGCAATGCAGTGTTTGATTCGTAATGACTTATTTCAAATATAAAACTATGAGAAAGAGAGTGTTAGTTGAAGTGGGTGCCAGCTGTAGTGATAGATTTTGCAATTTTTGTTTATTTTAAATACTTTTAAGTATTATAATACATGATTGACCTATTTATAATTAACATAAATATTATTGCTATATTGTTAATATTGTAACTTATTATTGATTTTTCACAAAATTACTCATTTCCCAATCTACACATGGAAAAACCTTGTATTAAACGTAGTGACGTCTTAAGATTTATACAATCGACCCATCAATCCAACTGTGATGCTTTAACAAAGACACTAGTTGGTTTATCTTTTAACAAGATTTGACTTCTTCTTCTCCGGCCCCTCGTAAGACTTTACCAAAGCCTTTTGGCTGTAATGAACAAGTTGGTGAGATCCGTACCCCACCCGTGTCCGTACTTCATAGGAGAGGAGGGATAAGAGGAGGCATCGGATTTTTTGAAATTTCCCAAATGAAATTCATAACTCTTGATTCAATGACCTTTTTACTGGCAAATTTTTCTTACCAAAGCCCTTCAATCCTTTGAACGAGTCAATCCATATCCACATATAAAGAAATAAGTCACAGAGTCAATGTCTCATAGTCAGGAAAGACGATTTAAGAAAGAAACAAAGTCGTTTACGTATGTAATTTTGTAACTACTAACTAGCCTTTACATACTTCAAGGTCACTTTCAGAGTTTTAACAATAAAAGAACCCGGCAACTATTTATGGAGATTTATATATGTTCATGTTTAGAAATTACGAGGCCTATGTGGTGCCCATGCCGAGTAATCACTGAACTAATTACGTTTATATGTTCGTGCGGGCATGCTGCTTCGCAACCGAGCTTGGTCGGGCAAATCAAATGAGTGTGGTGGCGAAACGTGCTGCTGACTTTTGTACCGAGCAACTTTGGTCGAGGAAGAAACACTTTCAGCCTAGGGTTCTAGAAATTGAAGACAAGGTTAGACAATTCACTACTGAGTTTAGGATCTCCTGCACAGGGTTCGGCAACTTCAACTATATTTGTAAAAATATTGGTGCGCTGAATTGGTATAAACCTTGATTTTAAGCCCTAGGAGCACGTCGAATATAAGTTTGATACAAAATATTGTGAAAGACAATGTTTTAGTATTTTACTCAAGAAAATATTATTGGTTCTCCAAAATTTAGTTGTGCACTCCTTGTTAGCTAATATTAAGGGGAGGGGGGAGGATTTGAAATTGTTACATTAATTTAGAAGAGTTAGGAGTTTCAAACCCGAGATATATGGGTAGAAGCCCTATATCTTATCTACTAAGATATTAGATCACATGCCTATTTTAGCTCTCCAAACTTTCTATATTTAGGGAAAAAAAAAAAACACGCTTACAAGAAGTGCATAATTAAATTTTTGGGGTATTAATAACAATTTTCTGTACTTATTATAAATAAATATGGTTAATGAATTAGCATCGGGGAACACCCATTTCTTGACACATATTTTGCAGAGCCTACTCTGTAATATATTTCAACGATCCAATAAAATACACACACACACATACATATATAGGGTTATGATTGGGGGCACCCAATTTTGTGACAGATGTTTTGACACCTTCATATAAGGTTCACTTCGTAATTTTCTTTCAATGATCTGAACTGTCTTAGGTCTTTCCTTAAATATTGTGTCTAGTAAAAATCATTCAAGTCTAAAACCATATAACCGTTGTAAATGATGGCCACTGTATTTTTTATTTGCAAAAGTGTATTCGTTTATTTTCTTTACTTAAAATGAATGTCTTAAGGATTTTAGATTTGTCTAATTTTTTTTTTTTTTTGTAAGAATGATCAATAAATGATGAAATGAAATATAGACTGTTCAAATCCTTGAAAAAATTATAGAGTGGGTCTACAAAATAGGTGTACAAATATGTGTAAAAAAATAGGTATCTTGTAATCTTGACCCATTTTTTGACACACAATTTTACGCTTATGTGTTATATATCACATTAGTGCATCAACAATCATATAATTTGAATATTTTATTCTATTTACATTGTCAATGGGATATTTTCAATTTTTTTTTAATAAACGACATTATCTACACTAAAAAGATGAAGAAATGAGCTAAACGTAAACTAATAATAATATGATTTAAATTTACTTTTAACGAGAATTAAATTTAAAACTTCTTATTTATAGATAAAAATAAACATGATTAAACTATAGTAGCAACTGACGTATACTTTCAAATTTTGGGAGCATCATACTAATGGATCATAATTCATATATTTACCAAAAGACAGAAGTCGGTGAAGCAAAAGTAGCGAAAATTTTTAGGTGTACCGGGTACACCAAATTTTTTTGGTGTACCCTCACTCATTAGAATTTTTTTGGTGTACAAAAAGTGAGGGTGCACCAAATTTTTTTGGTGCACCCTCACCATTATGAGTGAGGGTACACCGAAAAATCCCTCCAAAAGTAGAAGGAAAATAAATAAATAAATAAAAGGAAAAAAGAGAAACAAATTAATGAGGGCCCGTCGCTATCATTCTTCCTGGGAGTCACCATCCTATCCACCTTTAAATAATACCAACCATAATAAGTAAACCCACTCCTTTTTCTTTTTTTCCTTTTTTATTTTTTATTTTTTACTTTTCTTTTTTATTCCCCCCCCCTCTCTCTCTCTCTGATTCATCACCGGTTTTTTAGTATTTGCAGCGATCGAAGAAGTCATAGCCGCCGATTCGACGGCCGCCAAACGTCTGGAGATCCCTCTACTTCTTGGATATTCAACTTCTTCAGGTATTTCTGCTGACTGTCCTCCCTTTCTCTTTGATCTGGTTTTCTGTTTGTTTCCCGAGAAAATGATGGGACTGAAAAGAATAAAACTTTACTCCCTTTGGGATTCTCGAAAGAAAAAGTGGAATTTCAGTTCAAATTAAGAGTCTATTAATCTTTTGATTTCTTTTGAAAATTCAAAAATAGAAAATGTAAAATTGTGTGACTGTTCATAAATATATGATACTGTTTAAGATTAAAGTTATTAGTTACTATTGGTTTAATTTAATGGGTGACTGTTGGAATGCAGTGATGGGTAATGTTTAACTGTTTCTTGCAGAACTCACTAATTTGACTAGTTTAGTTTACTATAAATGGTTGGGTAATTCTCTGCCTTCCGATAAATTGAACATCTCACGGAAACCTTGTTGACCTTACATGTTGTGAATTTGGTTTATATTAACTTGCTATTGATGTTGTGAATTTGAACAAGAGGAAAAGCTTTGACCTTACATGATCACGAGCCATTGCGTGCTTCTTGGTAGTTGGTACTTAATCATACCAATTTACATCTTTCTGAAATTTTCGAATGTCTTACAAGACTACGGTTTTAATGAGTTTTGTGCTCACGAATATGCATATTTGCATATATAGTTATGATCTCCTTTGAGATGTTGGTATCTTATATTTTCAAATTGTTAATCAGGGCCATGAATTCAAGCACGATTCTACTCGATCAACAGTTCTAACTGACAATCTGTGTGTATGTGTGTGTGTGTGTCTGCATTTTATTGAATCATGCTAATCCGATTGTCAATTAGACTAACACATGCAGACTTGAGTGTATTTGATCAATGGTCCTGATCTGCAATATGGCAAGAAAACAAGTCAGTTGTCTTACATGACAACAATAACGCGCACATGGTCTTTCTTTAATAAGGATGTCCTCATTTTGAAAAAAGTAAGGACTGTCTATAGCAATCTGCTCTATTGATTCGAAATTTCGAACCATGTAATTATTTAGCCATTTGATTACCATCATGATTATTTCAGTATTTACCTAGAACATAGTGTTCGTCTATTTGTCTGGTCATAGTTACATAACTCAATGGTTTCTGAAGTGACTTGAAATACGAGTAATGTAGATCATTGGACCAGATTGCATGTCAGGCTCACATGACATCCCCATAAACAGGAATCCCTTCTTTGGAAAGGTGTAATACAATAGACCTTTGAAGAGGCACGTGCATGTGTGGAACATGATTAAGTGCGGAATTCCACTCCTGCTTTGGCCCGATATTACAATATATGCACACTTCATTTAAAAATTGGGGAACTGGATTAGTTTTTGTTGGTAACTTGGTATATTTACAATGATGCAAATGCTGATTATCTTTCACTATTCTTACAGTGAGTTATTGGTGGATGGAAGTCAGGTGGATTTGGTTCATCTGAGTAGAGGCCAACTGTATAGAAAACACATGTTGATGATCAAATGAGTAGAACTGATGTTATTTGCAGTAGAAGGAGGAGGGTTCTTCTCATCTTCAGCTGCTGGGTATAGCAAGGGCCTGGCCCTTCTTCTCTTGGGTCAGAAGGACGAAGATAAACCCATGAGAGTTTCGCCGTGGAATCAGTACCGGTTGGTGGATCAAGAATTTGACACTGACCTCCAGCTGGCTTCCACAAAGAACCGACTTTCCCGCGGCTGCGCCTCCTTTGTCTGCTTTGGTCGCGCTTCCGCGGGGCTCGACACTCCATCTCCTCTTAAAGTGGGCCCTGCCCAACAGCAGGATATTTTGCCTGGGTCTCTTGTTTCTGACAAAGGCAAGGATCATACTGCTGGTGCTGATGATGACCATATTGCTAGAAAGGTTGTCCTTAAAAGTAGCCTGAAGAAACCTTCCAAAAGAACTCCACTTTCTGTCGAGAGTGCTAATGAACGTGAAGCATTGAGTGAACCAGGTAGTGATATTCCTGGTCATGTGGAAAGGAGGAAAGTGCAGTGGACAGATGTTTGTGGGAGTGAGCTTGTTGAAATCAGGGAGTTTGAACCCAGGTATATTAAAGTTTATATCACAATATTATTAAACGCGTTCCTAATTCTTTAATTAGGCCATTACTTGAACTTAGAGTAAACTAATGCCTGGTTTGGTACTGAGGTGATTCTGAAAAAAGCTGGTGTAAAAAAAAAGCTTGGAGTTGTTTATGTGTTTGGTAAACATTCAGCTTCAGCTTTTTTTCACAGTTTTGGATGAAAAAAAGCCAAAAACAAGAAGCTGCAAAACCCAGCTTTGAAAAACCGGCGTTTTTTCACATCTGTTTTACATAAAATTTTATCAAACACTATAATACTGCTTTTTTTTTTTTCTTTTCAAAAGCACGTTTACAAAAAAGTTTACCAAACCCTCTGTTGCTTTATTTCACAGCTGCTTATTCTCACAGCACAGCAGAAGCAGCTTTTTTTCAAAGCACAGCAATACCAAACTAGCCCTAACTGCAGGCTCCCAAAAACTAAGCCTCATTTCTAGGGTTTTAATTGGGTGTTTTCTCTCAAGTACTGGAATATAAGAGCAGAATCACTCGTAATGGACTTCTACGTGTCTAATGTTTAAGTCATTGACCTTTCACATGCATTAAAATAAGGACACATGTATCTGAGATGGTGAAATTTAAGGTAGGTGTACAATTAGTGGAGAAATATAGATGGTTAGATTTTCAGAAGGATGGACGAGATGTGTTTGATTATGGTAGGATATCTCTAAGGTATGTTTGGGTGGGGGACTTCCAAATTCCAAGGCATTATGGCAAAATGAAGAAATGGATCACAAAAATTTAGATAAGAGGAATTAGAAAATGCACTTCATGAGCATTACAAAGGTATGTGATAGAGAATTGTAAATGACCCTTCCGAGTAGTAATTTTCAAATCCCTCGATCATGCCTTTTATAATGCTCATGTGGTGCATTTCCAATCCCTCCTTTCAAACTTTTTGGGATCCATTTCTTCATCACTATGCCTAATTCCCTTGTAATTTGGAAGTTTCTCGTCCAAACACACCCCTAGTGTCAGCTGGGTTTTCAATGATAGTTTTGTTGTATAATTGGGGATTCTATGTCGATTTATGACTAGGAGCTATCTGCTTGTTGGGTTGTTAATGCTTGAACTAAGGCTATTTGTTTAATCACCACGAACCTCCAACTTGGCAAGTTAGAGCTTACCAACCCATAAGTTGGTTACAAACCTGTATAGGAATTCAGCAAAGGTGTTTAAATTGAGATTTTGTTCAGCTCTTTCCTCATTTACTTTTTATGGTAGGTTGAAGGGTAAACTTAGAGCTTCTAGGTAGGTAGAGTGGCCTGTTTCCCTCATTTCCTTATAATGGGATTGAGGGACCTTTTTTATCGGAAGGGGTCTACGCAAATACCTTGTTACAGTTTGTGGATGTATTATCTCATGTACTTTGGGGGAGGTAAATTGGTTTTCTTAATTTGGTTAAGATTGTTGAATCATAATGCTCCTTTTTGTTGGTAGGTGTTAAATTTGGTTTTGGGAAGAGAGTTAGCACCGTGAATCATTTTTCCACTTTCTTCATGTGTACAATAATGTGCTAATGTCTTCTGTTGCTTCCTTTTCACCTTCTCGTATGTTTCTTGGAATCTAGTTGATTCATTTTGTTAGAGACTTTTCTGACCCATTTTTAGCTTTAATTTGGAACCTTAGTGCACCTGTTCAAGTGAAGATTTTTGCATGGTTGGTGGCCCATAGGAAACTTAGTACATGTGATTTTCTCCAAAGGAAAAAGTTGTATGGTTGTTATATCCCAGGTTGTGCTTTATGCTCAAAGGCGAGGTTGAGAGTATTCATCATATCCTTTTGGCATTGTCTTTTTACGTTGCAAGTTTGCCAAGAGATTTCAGTTACTTGATGTTAGTGGTTTAGGTTTATGAGAAGGCAGTTACCCTTAGAAGATTTGTGGCTTTAATCTATTTTTAGATTATTTGGGTAAAAATGGTTGGCTTGATAAGGTCCGTTCTTTAACAACTTAACCTTTTGAGTTGTAGTGGTTGCCTAATATGGCATCTGAGCTCTTGTTGTAAGAGCTTCTGTGATCAGAGCCCATAATCCTTCATCCCTTTTATTTGTCAATTTGTAAGGTACATGGTGGTGGTCTTTACCTGTATGTTGTGCTTGAGATATGAGAGCGATGAAGGGTGGTGGGATAGAGGGATGAAAGTAAAGATGAATGAATGAAAATAAAATCATTCTATTCTTGAGCTGATTTTTAACATCTCTGTTTTTTAGGGCCGTTCAGTTCTGTTAATTCATTCTATTCTCGAGCTACAAGCTGATCTGACTATTGTTTTTTCTGGTTTTTAGCTGAGCTTGATGGACATCTTCTTTTATCCATTAAAAGTTCAGGTTTCCCATTTGAAAAAGTTATTATTTCCCACGATCTAAAAAACAAAAGCATCATGTTTATACGTTTTTATGTCAATATTCTTCTGCAAGGTGTTTTTCTCGCTTTCTATGCAATTTAGGAAGTATATATTTTTATTGCATTCGCGTTCTTTCATTTCTCTATTTAGTACTACATATAATTTTTGCTGAGATGGAAACATGTTTGTATTGGCAGTGAAACGGATGGATCAGATGATGGATTCGACGATGGGAATGAAAAAAGTTGCTCGTGTGTGGTTATGTAGTTTGGCATTTACCTGATGATGATTTGGGCATTTCTGCTCTTTGGATGCAAATACTGCATCAGGTAACTTACCGCTAACATAGCTTGTTTGGTTGATTTACTTATTTCCGAGTAGCACCGTGCAGAATACCACCGTAGCAAGGACCAAGGAGTATTATATCTCTCTATGCCCGTCGGAATGAACTTTCATGTGTATATCAGGTTGCTGTGGGTTTTGTTTGTTATTCTCCTTCTGTGTGACTGCATTGTTCATTATTTTGTCATAATTAATGTATTATTTTTTTGCCCTTATGGTTTGAGTGCAATAAAAATTTTAGTCCTAAAACCTTTGAAGAATGATTGATGTCGCCTCAAGATAAGGTGATCCGAATGCCACCACGATCCCTTTTTGTGTCGGATTCTAACCTAGCATTCGTCCCCGTCGCGTATGTTGAGCTAGAAGCGTAATTGGAAGAGATTTATTGGTACTACGGGTGTCGGGTGCATCTGATTAGAAAGACGTTGGGTGACAAACGTCTATGCGCGCTGGTTACTGAATTCTTATAGCATTGTCGGCTCTCTCTGCATTGCCGCTCCAAAACCAAAATAAAATCACTCACCATTTTCCTCTCTCTGCAACTCTTGTTTAATGCTCTCTTGTTTTCGCTTGGTTTATCGACTCTGATAAGCATAAATAAAGAGAAGTGTGTAACAGTGTTTAAAATATTAAAAAACTGTAGATATTTATGTCAAAATATTTGAAAAATTAAGAATCGATATAACAAGAAGGGGATGAGGTGCAAACTTCAGTCTCTATTGGCGAGATATAAAAAAATCAATAAATATCGATAATATTTACCTATTCACTATAGAAATTTGGTGGAACTTATTGAAGATTTCAAACTTTTGAAATATGTTTTTTTTTGAAAATTTTTCTCTAATTTCGATTAAATCTGAATGAGCTGATACATTCGTCATATTACAAATTTTCACAATTTCGTCAAATACAACTGATATCTATATCAATAGATCAATCAATTTTTCTATAAATTCTCATATCGATTTTCATGGTATGTCAATATTTTAAACATCGGTGTAGTAAGCGAAAAATGATATATAATCACCATTTTCTCCAAAAATAACATGACGGATAACCGGCACGTGTCCCTTGCGTTAAGAAAAGGCGTAAGGCGCCAAACTCAAGCCAGCCAACAAACCTGACTTCTCTTGCATGCGCAAGACCAACTGACTTTAGAATTAGAATTCGAAGGAAGCCAGCCATCTCCTTTTACACAGAAACTTGGCCACACCTTGTCCACAAAAAGCACTTCCCAACTCCAACTGCTTCAATGGATAACACAAACAAATCACACACCCCAAATTACTCAGAAAGCAAAAGAACACAAAAATGTCAGTGGCAACTTCCTTCCCCTCCATCAAAATCCCACCTGCATCATCATCTTCCTCTTCACATTCTTCTTCTTGTTCTTCAAATCATTCTTTTATGCTGTCTTCTTCCTCTTCAACAAAGCCTTACCATGTAAAAATTAGCATAAGGAGCTCCCAGACTGAAGGGCCTATCAGAAGACCTGCTGCTCCTTCTCTCCGAGAACCCTCCCAGCCGTCTTCCCCTCTCAAACCAACCCCTCCTTCTCCTCCGTCTCCTTCTCCGCCGCCTCAGCAGCCCTCGAATCCGGCCCAGGTTTCCGGGCTGACGATGGTGGAGGACAAGAATGTGGTGACCTTGGAGTTTCAGAGGCAGAAGGCTAAGGAGATTCAGGAGTACTTCAAGCAGAAGAAGCTTGAGGCTGCTAACCAGGGTCCTTTCTTTGGCTTTGTTGGCAAGAACGAGATTAGCAATGGCAGGTAAAAGCTTTTAAATTTGTTTATCTGGGTTTATGCAGTTTTGTTTGTCTTGATTATCATTGGATTAGGGTTTGGATTGGGTGAAGATTATATTAAAATTGAAATGAATCTAAAATCTTACTGGAAAATCGCTGATCAAATCAGTAATTTTTTTTTATAGCAAACCCTAAGAACTGCATCCACATCTATCTATCAGACCTAAAGAAGAACAGCTCCACTTGTGTGAAACCAACGAAATGATAAATTCACCGGGCTTTCGATGATATTTTAGCACACTTTGGATTTTCCTCTTTCAAGGAGTATGTCAAATGCATTTAGTTGGAGTTGCATCCTATTTCTTTTAGCTTTGGCTACCCTCCTTCAATTGAACCTGTTGACATTAAATCACCAGTTTTCGATTAAATATTAGCAAGTCTACTTGTAGTACTGATGTTGTAGTCAGCTCACAAATAAGATAGAGAGGATTCGTCTCAAAGCACCCGACTTCTATAGTTTTACTTATTCGTTGTGACATCAAAAGTTTTAGTATCAGAGGGGTTTTTGCCTTCTTGCCTTCTCTTTCGGGGATAGTAGGAAGGTTTGCGTTTACCTAGATAATATTGTTTGGGAAGCGTATTTGATTGATCAGTTTTCGGTCATTGGGTTTTTAACAAGTTAAGCCAAAGAATTGAAAATTTGGTTTTGAAGATTTGCTTAATCATTACTAAGGAACCTCTGCCTAAACTCCGAATGTTAATTACACCCCAACACCCCTACTTAGAAATTAGAAAATAGAATCTAAAATTAGAATCAAGTTACATTCTGTGGCCGATTTTGTTAGTTCTGTTGGATCCCTCAACCAAACGACTTGCATTTCCGGCAAGAAGAAAGGAATTCTGCTTCCTATTTGGGTCTGTATGCTTGTGGCATAGTTTAGTTTGTCGATCTGTGATCTTCTTTCTCTTGTATTTGTGATTTTGGCTTTACAGATGGGCAATGTTCGGTTTTGCTGTTGGAATGCTAACGGAGTATGCAACTGGCTCAGACTTTGTTGATCAAGTAAAGATACTGCTTTCGAATTTTGGAATACTAGATCTGGAATGATACACCGGCCCGGTGGGATGTTGAAAGCCTCAATACCTTCTTGTCTCTGGAGCTACTGCAGATGCATTCACTGTTTCACTTGTAACTTTGTTGAGTAATTTGTTTAAATTTCATTTGCGAGAAATACTCAGCTATCATACGTTGCTGTATTTTACTTACGATGTTTACCAGGATTTCAACAATAGAAGAAGTTCCTCAGAGCTCGTTTGATAACATTTTTGTATTCGGTTTGTTTCCTTTTGAAGTAAACTGAAAGAAAGGCAAAATAAAATGGGTGAAAGGTTGAGAGGCAGGTCAGAGGTGAAACCGAAACCACAAACTATCTATAACTGTTTTTCTAGCATTGGTGAGCGAGTGTCCGCGGCAGTGATTTGTGATGTTTGGAGCACGCAAGATGAATGCAGCTCGAAAAGCAGGTTGATTATGCAGATCACGGCAGGATGATTTGAGTTGAACTCGTTAAGGCCTATTTGTTTTTGCGTATTTCAAACTAAAAAGTACTTCTAAAGCATCATAAGAACAAAGATACCACTTTCCTAAACCTGCGATTCGATGCAAGAAAATTTTGCAGTTGAGAGAATCATCAATTCAGATGCCTAACTACATATTTTACAGAAAGAAGAGCAATACACAGCTGAAACTAACCAGCTAATCACCCCTAACATTTACTTGACAACTGCATAGATAAGAGTAACCAGAAACAGCGCGCAAACAACACGCATTCCCTTTTGCAGATACAGCATCTTTGCCTCCAGTTTTTCCACCCTAGCCTCCACTCGAGCTATCCGCGCTTCCAACATTGCCAGCCGCGCTCCCCACCTTGTCTCCCCAACATCTACGCCATCTGCCGTGCTCTGTGCATAATCTTCACCCTGCAGAGAATCGTCTTCCCAAGCTTGATAGTTACACATCTCAGCAGACTAAAATTCCTGAATCACAGCATAACATTTTCCAATTTACATACTTTCAGAGCTGTCTCTGGCAATCAAGGTAGCTATTGATGGATTGAAACTAAATATTCGCATTTTGATTTCAATAAATAATGGACATAAAACTTAAACACGACAAGACTTTCTCTTACTCATCGATATTCTAAACTACTTTAATATGCCAACGAGTGAACAAAGTGGGTGCGAGGAGGTTGACGTTACCCTGGCCAACTAGCCTAACTCAACATTTGTAGTGGTATGATTGGTAAATTCCACAATATCCATAGAGCATCATAGAAATGATCTACAACTCCAATTAGACAACACCACAAAGTGCAGGGCAGATAAACCACCATTAAAATCTGAATGTTTTTAATTTTACATGTAAATTAGAAAACACAATTGAAACTACGAATCAACTTTAGTTTGCATTTTCTATCTTTTTTCTTGTATCTCGTTCTGGGTTTCATATATTTTCACCGCTGCGATTCGATTTTTTGTCTGATTTCACCATTATTTGCGAAAGACCCACATTTTATACAAGTAAAACAAAATAAAAAATGGATTAAAGCAAATACCTTTTAAGAGAAACTTGAATTTTCCCGTTTGAGGCTGAGCCGAGGGCTTTGAGGGTTTCTTACCAATCAAGATTCAAGTCTGGCCGTGGGAGAAACTGGCGAACCCAAGACACAGAGCCAAGATGAAAGGTTATTACTTTTTCGGGTGGGGAGGGAGACTCGTGAGATCACCCGTCAGTCGGGCAGCCAAACCAAATAGGCCAACCAAATAGGTTTAATGCTATTGGTTGAGGCCATGGGGCCTGGCCCCTCCCTTGGAGGGATTTTTCGGTGTACCCTCACTCATAAAGGTGAGGGTGCACCAAAAAAATTTGGTGCACCCTCACTTTTTGTACACCAAAAAAATTCTAATGAGTGAGGGTACACCAAAAAAATTTGGTGTACCCGGTACACCTAAAAATTTTCCCCTCCCTTGGCCACTCGCATCTCATCTCAGCTCATCTCATCAGAATGGACTCATCAGGACAAGGAGAGATTTTTTAATTTGTTAGGAATACGAGCACATATGTTATATATTATTATATAAGGAGAATAAAAAATTTTGCTTGTATGATGACATATGATATATCATCCCGTGTACTAAACATATTGAAAAATCTCTCCATCCAGGTTAAGATGTTGATGTGTCAACATCAGGCCAAAATTATTTATTCAAATAACACTTCACTCCTTCCAAATAAGAAGAAAGCCCTTATTCACCATTAATGTGATATCATTATTTTACCATACAAATACCATAATCATAATTGTTCATTATCTTCATCATGATTTAAAGATCATTCTAGAAAAAGTCATTCAATTCGATTGTCGTTTAGCAGTTGTACGATTCAAAGTTTTTGACTCCATAAACTAGAACACAGTATTTTTCAAATTAGCATCATACAAGACTCACTTTGGATGATTACATATATATATATATGAATGATTGACTACTTGCTTCGTGTCAAGTATCAATTTTTTGTTTTAATTACATGGTTGTTTGGTGTTTTATTTTCTGTTAAATCTTGAGTTTTTTAAGCCATAATTATATACATTATTGTGACTAATTATTGAAGAAGACTAACTAAATAAATGTCTACTGCATTGGAAGACTCGAGTCCTCAAGGGCTCCTCCTTGAACCATTTTAAGGCATTGCTAATGTATTTAATGGCTTAGCTAAACTGGTCTCTTCTTAAATTTGTATAAAACGGTTTATTTTTAGTTATACTTTTTGGAACTCGATTTTGATTTCACTTTATTCTTTAAAATTCAAAAGTCGTTACTTTGCTTTCTGAAACTCAATTTGATCCCACTTTGTTTCCTGAAATTCAAAAGCCGCCACTTTGCTCTCTGAAATTCGATTTCAATCTCACTTTGCCATTTGAAACTTAAAAGTCGTTACTTTAGGATTAATTATTGTATGCTTATATAATTGAATTGCTTGAATTAAAATCTGATATGAATTTTCTTTTCCTTTGACTCAGTCACTTACACACACAATTAAGGTTGATTACTCTCTCTCTCTCTCTCTCTCTCTCTCTCTCGCTGGTGCTTGTTATATCATGAAAAGCATGCACCCTCTAGAATTCCTTAGGAAAACTCATATGAATCCAATAATTTAACTTTTACAAAAGATTGGTATTTACTATTTAGGCTAGTATCCATCTCTATATCGATTCAAACAAGACTCGGACTTCTTGTCTTGTTTGGATTGATTTTGATTTCAGATTATATTTGTTGCTGAATCCTCAACTCTGTCAAGAGTTGATGGACATCTTTGTTTTTGTAAGCATATCGGTATAACATGTAATTATATGTTAAACAGTGGAGACGATAAAAGTCAAACGACATCAACAATTTTTTTATTTTTATTTTTTATTTTAAAGATTAATGGATAGAAGCGTTGGCGGATTTAGAATTTGAATCATGCTGGGTCTCAATGTTAAATAGGAACAGAGTGCAAACTCGCAAAGCTCTAAAAAACCAGTTTATTCACTTGGTGGGCTTGTTATGCACATGTCAATAGATATAGGCATATGTCGAATCAATCTAATGAGTGATATGGAGAGAACTTGTCGAGTGTTGTTAATGCAACATGTTAAGATATGCATAACATACATTACATAAACATCTAGTATACACAAAAGAGATTCGTACCAAATCATCGAAGGATCCTATAAAAACATTTACATGTATATTTTTTGAACTCAAAGGATCCTAAAACCACCTTGGTTCCTAGTTCCATCCGTGCCTGCATAGAAGAATCTTAGTCCGCAAACAAATGTCAAGAAGAAGGAAGGTAAAATAATACATAGAAAAGGACGAAATATTGTCTTTGACCAAAAAAAGAAAAATTAAATAGAAGGGATGTAATTGTCACATGATTGACACATGTCGATTAAATCCTTCCCTCCTCTTTTACTCCGGATTTTCAATTGAGCGAGAAAGGCAAGACTGGAACCAGCCAAGGACAAAACACCCCTATTTTCTCCCGCACAGTATGCCTCCGATTTGCCGCCCATGGACGGCCAAGATTCCCGCATATTCGCCTAATACCCCTCCTCATCTCTCTCGTTCCTCCTTCTCCCTCCTCATCTCTCTTGTTCCTCCTCCTCCCTCCTCTTACTCAAAGAAACCCCGGACCGGTCTCGACCCACAAGCCAATGGGAATAGTTCAGGCCAAGCCTCTCACGAACTCCGCACCTGGTGGGCTAGAGAAGCTCAAACTGGATAATGGGCACGTCGCAAAAGGGCCGCTTAATGGTCACAGACGATCAACTGGACAGTTCCATAGGGATCCTTTTAAGTCGCAGCAGCAGAGGGTTGAGTCCAGACTTTCAAATATCGAGCATGGCAGTGGCGGCAGCAGCAGCAATGAAAGGGCGACGGCGGCGGCGTTAACTGGTGGTAGTGAGGGAGAGAAAGATGATGGGAGTCAGAGAGTTTCTTATAAAGTTTCTGTGGATGAGGAGTTGGTGGATGGATGGCCCAAGTGGCTCACTGATAATATTTCGAGAGAGATTTTGGCTGGCTTGGTTCCCAAGAGTGCCGACTCTTACGACAAGCTCGATAAGGTTTGATTCCGTTATGTTACTGTCACTCAACTTGAATTCATTAGAACAGTGATATGAATGTTTTTCTGTTCCTTTATTAGTGTTTGAAACTTGTATTGTTATGATCGTTTTCTAGATTCTAGAGTGCTTTTGTGGATGCAATCGAAAAGCTAAGGGACCATTTGATAATTGTTTCATTTTTAGTTTTCACTTTTTGTGCTTGGCATATGAGAAAAGTATATACTGGTAAATTTATGGCAATGTTTTGCTGTTGTAGGTGGGTGAAGGAACCTACAGCAATGTGTACAAGGCTCGAGACAGGGACACTGGAAAAATCGTTGCCTTGAAGAAGGTCCGGTTTGATACATCGGAACCCGAGAGTGTTAAATTTATGGCACGAGAGATTATGTTTTTACGGAAACTGGATCATCCCAATGTAGTCAAGCTTGAAGGATTGGCTACCTCAAGAATGCAGTACAGCATTTATCTTGTTTTTGATTTCATGGTGTCAGATTTGACAAGAATTATTTCCAGCCCTGAAGGGCTTACTGAACCACAGGTTTAAGTTTTCTCCTAACTCGTGGATTCTGAATTTGGATTCTTTGATTCGTTGGACTCTCAGTTTCTAACATGAATTATTGACACAGGTCAAGTGCTATATGCATCAATTGCTTGCAGGTCTGCAGCACTGTCACGAGAGGGGAATTATCCATCGAGACATCAAGGGATCAAACCTATTGTTAGATAAAAGTGGAATGCTAAAAATTGCAGATTTTGGGCTTGCAAACTATTATGTGCAAAACCCTAAGCGCTCTCTCACAAACCGAGTTGTGACACTTTGGTACAGAGCACCTGAGCTACTGTTAGGTTCTACAGATTATGGAGTTGGCATTGATCTTTGGAGTGCCGGTTGTGTCTTGGCTGAAATGTTTACAGGGAGACCACTTCTGCCTGGTAGAACAGAGGTAATTCAATGTTGAGCATGTGCGTGTGTGTTTGTCCAGGTGAGAAGAACGAGTTTATGATCTTACTTTCGCTGGCTGAATTTGCTCAAACACATTCTACTTGCTTTCAGGTTGAGCAACTTCATAGGATTTTCAGGCTTTGTGGCACACCATCAGAGGACTACTGGAAAAGACTGAAGCTATCTACAACTTTTAGACCTCCACGTTCGTACAAACCCAATCTTCAAGAAGCTTTCAAGGATTTCCCTATTTCTTCATTGGGTCTGTTGAGCACTCTCCTTGCTTTAGATCCTGCCTACCGTGGTTCTGCATCTTCGGCTCTAAAAAACGAAGTCAGTACAAATTGAAAGTTTCACTCTTATAATGAAAAGTTTTTTACCAACTACATGTTTTTCCAGTAGCTTCTGTTCCTTATGATTCTTGTTTTTAGGCATCCATGACATATAGTATGAGTTCTTATTTTGGTGTTGAATTTGTCTTGCAAGTGCACGTATGACTCGTGAGTTAATTTGTGAACATTATATACTAAAAAGGAGTTCTGTTTACAGTTCTTTTTCAGAAGCCCCTTAGCATGTGAACTTTCTGGTCTACCTGTAATCTACAATGCGGATGATGAATTGAAACTAGCCAATGAGCATAAAAAGTAAGTTGACGTTTTCTTTTCTTTAAGATCGATAAGGAAGGTATTTAACAGCATGACATAGTCACCCTGTTAATTTGTTCAATGTCATTAACGTTGTCTTTCTAAGTGAATTTGGTTTTCTACCTGTTCCGTCCAATAACGTCTCTGATGGATTCTGCTTGCATTAAATGTGAAGGTGCATGAACGTATTCATGCACAAATCTGTAGAGATTCTAGAGATCACACTACGTATATCCTTCAATTGTATGGTAGTGTGTGATTTCGGGAGTTACCAGATTAGAGGATGCATGATCCTGTGTCCTAAACCCATGAATGCACACACATAAGCACACAAGCATCCCATGAAATGTAATTAAAGATTTAAACTATTTGATCCATGGTTAAAACCCCTAACTCCTAAACAACCAACATTAAAGTACTCTCATTTAGAGTGCCTTAACCCTGTCAACATGGAGGATGAGGTCACAAAGGAAATAAATGTCAAGAAAAAGGGCCTTTGATCTAGTTTGGTAAAGGAATCGTTGCATTCAAAAGGATAGAAAATGGTGGAATTTGAAGGAATGTGAATACAGGATGTACTAACCTATATGGTTGACTGCTGGAGCGAATGGAGGAGGCTATTTGCTAATTAGCACAAATTCGAATGGAGGAGGCTATTTGCTAATTAGCACAAATTCAAGTGGTAGTTTTAAAGGAAGAGTATGTATTAACCTATATGGATCAAAGCCTTGAAACCATTTACGCATAGTTTTACCGTCTGGAATCTGGTAGTACCTTGTTATAGGCGCTACTTGTTATTTTCTAAACCATTATTGTTGCTTTAATGTTCTTGGAAAATGATTTCCGAATGCGAGGATTTGATGTCCAGTTCGTTGCTTGAGTAACTGAAAATTTTTCTGCTATTTTCAGGTCTAGGAAAGTAAGGCGGTCTCGAACACGTGAGCGCCAGAGACAAGATGTATCTGCTGCGAAAGTAAAAGAAATTTCTGCATCTTCCAACCAGGTAAATATAATTCCTTGTTTTCGGAGTTCAGGGGACCCTTGTGTTGTGTAAGCTTTTTTTTCTTATGGCGCATGAACAATCGCACAATTAACTTAGGCTAGCCAATCTGTCATGCATGGATGAGGAAGGGAAAAGAAAATGTTCAATTAAAAGAACAAGATACGGCCCTTATCGACGAGAGGAACCTCGTCTAGCCCTTCTCACCTATACTGCTCGGCACACCTTTCTGATCGTGAAACATTAGAGATATGTTTACAGGGTGATTTCTAAAGATTATGTAATATGCATATAGGGTCTTCAGGAGCAGGAGAAAACCGTTGGTTCAAATTTCGAAGGTGAGCCAGGAAGCACTACTAGTAGCAACTCCTCCAGTGCAAACCAGGAAGGCCGGAAGGAAAGCCCGATCTTCTCCCTCTCCCCAGTTGAAGGTCTTTCAAGTGTTACTAAGAACGTCAAGAACCTACCTCCATTACCCAAGTCTAAAGCGCGTGCCACAAAAGACAATCAGATTAACAGGTCTGCATCCAACAGAGAATTCAGAAGGTTCAATCCAAGGGAGCTAGAACTCTATGCTCTTGATGACTAGGCCCCATTTCATGAGCATATAGAGCTGCACCATATCTTTTTCTTACAGTCATTTTCCCCTCTACTGAATATTTGCCAACATGAATTTCTGGTTTCGTGTATAATGCAATGATTTTTTATTAGGGTTTTGTGTTTAGGGGGCTTGATTTAGTTTTCCGGCCAATATAGCGTATGCTCTGTCTTTTACGGCCAATGACGGCACATTCTCTGTTGAAACCCGAAAGTTCTTACGTATGGCCGGAAAAATTCTTAAAAAGAAACTCGACGATATAGGGGTAAGAAGGCATTCTCACAACATTGTCAATATATATTCTACAAATGTGGCTCTTCTATAAGTTTGTTTACCTACGTGACAGCTTAAAGATTAAAATTTGTTTTTTCACAGTTTTGCACGCCAATGAACTCACAAATTTCATACTCTTGATTCATTTATTGTGAAAGCTTTATTTTCTTTTCTACAGCTATTTTGGCATAATTGCATGCATGTATATTTATAAATGGGTGTAATTCGAATCGGATCAGCCTTAATCCATATTTGAATTCAGATATTATTCGGATATTGATTTGACTTGTAGATCCATATTCGATAAGCATCAAGTCCGGATTGAAGCGGATCTTTTTTTTTTTTTGGAATCAAACAATATTATCTAAACTAAGGGGGAAGGGTGGGCTTAGCTTCACAATGGGCTAGCAATAATGTGGTTCAAATTTGCATCTGGCGAGAATCGAACCTAAAACCTCTCACTTACAAGTGGAGAGGAATACCATTAGACAGTAGTACTAAGTGGCAGACCTATGCGGATCTAACTCAAGAAAAAAAATTAAATTTTTTTCTTATATTATGTAATTCTATTTTTAACCAAAAAGTTTCATGTTGTATAATATTAAAAAAAAAAAAAGTATGCGTATTTTGAATGCTTAAAAGATTTAAATTACTCTTACCCACATGTTTAATACATTCAAAATAATATGAAAATAAAATAATGTGTTATATTAAGTTGGATCATATTAATATCATATCAAATCAGCTTTGATCCATATTTGATTTTTTTTTTTTTTAGTACAACGATATATTTTACACTAAAGAGAAGGGGAGGAGTTCTGCTAAGCCACACAATGAGTAACCTAATTTGGTATCGAATTAGCAATCCACGAGATTCAAACATAAGACCTCTCACTCACAAGTGAAGAGGAATACCACTAGACCGTGGTACTGAGTGGCTAATTCATTTTTAATTGTATTGAGGGTTCAAATTTTATTCAAACAATCAAATTGTAATCTTGTTCTGGATCCTATTAATTACATAAGATCCAGATTAAGACCTGATCCATTGACATGTCTAATTGCATGGGTTGTTCAGCTTTTAGGCTTATTAATTGATTTGGCCCCAAAAACTGTTAGTCTCATTTTACCCCCTGAAACAATTCTCGTTTCACTTTGCCCTTTGAAACTACCATTTCGTCTCTTTTAGTCTTAGTTCACCCAATTTTCGTCCATTCTATCGAATAAACATTAAAGTAAGTATGGACATTTCTTTTTTGACACAATTCTTTGCCTCCATCTTGCCTATTAAAACAATCTCAATTCTATTTTTTATAACTCTAATTCAAACCCCGTCCATCTCTCTTAAGGATTGGTTAGTTTGTGAATTGGTGCGGAGCTACAGAAGAGGGAGAGAGAGAGAGAGAGGGGATGCAAGGGCGAGAGATGGTACAACAATAAGATGGTAGGGTTTCACACGTGATTTTTGATGTGTTTCCCAAGCCAGTAAGAATTATTTCCTAGTTTGTGTCATCAATTGTTTTGTTTTAAGTTATAGTGTACCTCAAAGTCTCATTGACCTATTTATAATAAGAATAAATTTGATTGATATATTGTTAATAACGGTCATAAAATTTTGTTGATTTTATAAAAAAATTACCCTTAAATTAATATATTATTTAGGTTAGTTTAAATACACATCAAATTTTTGGAGCCTTTTAGGGTTTAGGTTCCTTAACAAAGCTTAGGGATAATTGACATGAAAATATAGGAAATAATGCACCTATCAGGAACACCAAAGTTTTCTACAAAACACATAGCCGGATACAACTTGTAACATCCCACATCGCCAAGGGGTGTGGATCCTGTAAGCTTTATAAGTATATTCTCATCTCTACCTGACACGAGGCCTTTTGGGAGCTCAGTGGTTTCGGGTTCCGTAGGAACTCCGAAGTTAAGCGAATTCAGGCGAGAGCATTCCCAGGATGGGTGACTCACTGAGAAGTTCTCGTGTGAGTTCCCAGAAACAAAACCATGAGGGTGTAGTAGGGGCCCAAAGCGAACAATATCGTGCTACGGTGGAGTCGAGCCCGGGTGTGGTGGGGGCCTGGGCTAGGATGTGACAATTTGGAATCAGAGCCAATCCCTGGCTGGAAGTGTGCCGACGAGCATGTCGGGCCCCTAAGGGGGGGTGGATTGTAACATCCCACATCGCCTAGGGGTGTGGATCCTGTAAGCCTTATATGTATATTTTCATCTCTACCTAGCACGAGGCCTTTTGGGAGCTTACTGGTTTCGGGTTTCGTAGGAACTCCGAAGTTAAGCGAGTTCAGGCGAAAGCATTCCCAGGATGGGTGACCTACTGGGAAGTTCTTGTATGAGTTCCCAAAAATGAAACTGTGGTCCAAAGAGGATAATATCATGCTACAGTGGAGTCGAGCTCGGGATGTGGTAGGGGCCCGGGCCGGCATGTGACACAACTACTCATGCTACAGTGGAGTCGAGCTCGGGATGTGGTAGGGGCCCGGGCCGGCATGTGACACAACTACTCAGTGGGAAGATTTGTGTTGTGGTTTTAGGATTTGCCGGACCTTATTATTTAGGGAAACTTTAGATGCGGTCCCTAGCTATGAATATTCTTTAACTAAAACCTTGTTGGTTTTCAATTTTTTATCGAAGTCCCTGAAACTAATGTGATAATTTATTTATATGTATGTTACTATATTTTTTAAATTAAAAATTGAAATTTATAGTTGTTTATATTAATGAGATTTTAAATAAAAAATCATAATTTGTGGGATTAAAAATATTAAAATATAAATATACTATTGTGTGTGTGTGTGTGTAAACATGGGTACATTCATCAAAATTAACCAAATAATTATTGTACCAAAACATGGGTGCATTCTTCAAAATCACAAAAAAAAAAAAAAAAAAAAAAAGAAGAAGAAGAAGAAGAAGAAGAAGAAGAAGATATTAGGCTTAATATACATATAACAATTTGGTATATTTAAGAATAAGTACATTTTAAGATTAAAAATTTGAAAAAAATTACATGAATGGGTACATATAAGATTGAAAGTTTGAAAAATTGAAACATTTTAAAAAAAAGGCTAATGGGTACAAACTTATTCTAATTTATTTATTTATTTTGGAAATGTTTTGAATTGAAAATTAGTTAGGAGTTTAATAAAGGTGTGAGTATTAAAATTCTAAATCAATTATTAATTTTTATTTAAAAAAAATTATGTAACTAACATGTAAATTCATTATTACATTAATGTTAGGGATTTGGATCAAAATCTGAAAACTAATAAGATTTTAGTCAATGAACATTAGTAGCTAGGGACTGGATACTAATTTTTTTCTATTATTTATAATTGGCTAGAGCATTAGAGTTCTGTGAGTTGTGTCCATAATAGAATCCCAAATCAATCCTTCAATTTAGGTATCAAATTGGCCTTATTTGCACTCCAAGACACCGGTCTATAAGGCTAATTTGATGAAGTTTTCTACAATCCTACCTAACATTACCTAATATCACATTTTTATTTCAATTGTAGGACCATTTTATGGTTGATTTACATTGATTGGAAATCCAACAATATTTGCTTCTAGCTTCGATTAATAACTCCAGGTTGCTAAGCGATCAAAGGGGTGAGGGTTCGTTATCATAATTTTCCCATAATATACCCTTGCAATTTGATTCATTGCCATGCAAGATTAATTGATTTTTAATTTTGTACAAAAATAGTAATGTATTATTGGATCCGAGATACTTTGATCAAATGTCCGTAAATTCGTCACAAGATAATGTTAACGCTAGTAGATGTTCTTAGAGAGAAGAAAATTATATTAAAGGTAAAAGAACTAATCTCTGTTATTACAAAAACGTATTACAATTCAAATGGCCACAGCCTAAGGCCGCCACCACCATCACCGTACTCTTACTGCAACTTTGCACTGAGAGAAACAACCCTTTTTTTTAATTTTTGTTTTCATCTTCGATCTTTGCTGGGGATTTCCATGACCATGACAGACGAAACCAACTGTATACAACCAAGAAAGAACAAGTAGTGACTACAAGAAAGGCTTATGTTATGAATTTCGGATTCATCCATCATAACGGACATCGGTGACGAACCTGTTCTTGATCCACTTGAAGCTGTTTCTTAGACTTGTTTTAACCTTACCTTCCATCGTAAACACGTTGTATGAGGCGACTCTCTTCTTCCTCTGGAGTTCTGGATCAGTTGATGTTGCGAAACCGCTTCCCTTCTGGGTCGGCCCGTTGAAGTTGTACGAGTTCGACCGCTCCCGGAAGTCAAACTCGCCGGAGTAAGCTGAGGTGTAGTGAGGGAATGACTTGCTCTTCTCCATATCAAAAGCGCCTAGCTGTAGAAAAAGAGAACCTAATTTTTAAGCTATAGGGAAATTCCCTTTCTCAAGCTTCATGGTACTTATACCGTGAGAGAAGAAATCAACGGTGGAGATTGAGTAGTATCAATCAATGGAAGTGGGTGCATTGCATCCATGCATGATGTGTTGAATGTGGTTGCAGCTCATGTGTGATGTTGGAAGGCTGCTTTTGGTTTGTTGCTATGGGGGAAAGGGAATCATGAGGGCCAGTGGAGTGTGATGGTGTTGGGCTGTTGGGTGGGCCTATGATGGTTCACATGGTGGGATGTGGACACAACACAACTACTTGAGCCATGGGTGGCTGTGGGGCTCTTTAGTGAATAACCTAAGGTTAAGGTATTTATTATTTGTCTATTTATTTAGAGGTAATTTGCATGGAACGGATTCACTGCTATGTGATGTTCTGATTCAGTATTACAATGTTACACAGAAAGAAACTTG